GTTAGTTTAGGACAGGATAGTTGTCGGTGTTTGCTGTCAACAAGTAGTAGTTGGTTAGTTCAGGACAGGATAGTTGTCGGTGTTTGCTGTCAACAAGTAGTAGTTGGTTAGTTCAGGACAGGATAGTTGTCGGTGTTTGCTGTCAACAAGTAGTAGTTGGTTTACTCAGGACAGGATAGTTGTCGGTGTTTGCTGTCAACAAGTAGTAGTAGTTGGTTACTTCAGGACAGGATAGTTGTCGGTGTTTGCTGTCAACAGTAGTAGTAGTTGGTTACTTCAGGACAGGATAGTTGTCGGTGTTAACAGAATAGTGTAACTAGCCTTTACTCAGGACAGGATAGTTGTCGGTGTTTGCTGTCAACAAGTAGTAGTAGTTGGTTACTTCAGGACAGGATAGTTGTCGGTGTTTGCTGTCAACAGTAGTAGTAGTTGGTTACTTCAGGACAGGATAGTTGTCGGTGTTTGCTGTCAACAAGTAGTAGTTGGTTACTTCAGGACAGGATAGTTGTCGGTGTTAACAGAATAGTGTAAGTAGCCTTTAGTTCAAACAAATTAAATCTTATGTCTCTCCCCTTGTTATCAATTTTTAAACTTTTCAGGCCCTTTGGGCTCCGACACCTTCCACAAATGGGGGGAGGGACTGTAAGGGCATACTTGCACCACTGTCTATAATATTATAATAGTGTTCAAACTTGTTATATTTTGTGCTTTAACATTACTACAAGTTGTGATTGATACCAGAATTATTTTACCCAGATAACTTCAAAAAAAGGGACACTGTTACAATAATATGTTTAAAAGTTTGCCATTTTTGATTAAGATTAGTTTTAAACTAACATTAAAAATTAGCTTTCATGTAGTGTAAGAAGTGAAGACTAATCATCTTGTGTCAATAAAAACAAAGTTTCATATTCACTATAGATCTATAATTACCATCACAAGAAAGTTCCCGTAGTAGAATCCCGTAGTAGACTACTGTAGTAGAATCCCGCAGTAGATTGCTGTAGTAGAATCCCGCAGTAGACTGCTGTAGTGGTGGTAGAATCCCGCAGTAGACTGCTGTAGTGGTGGTAGAATCCCGCAGTAGACTGCTGTAGTGGTGGTAGAATCCCGCAGTAGACTGCTGTAGTGGTGGTAGAATCCCGCAGTAGACTGCTGTAGTAGTGGTAGAATCCCGTAGTAGACGGCCGTAGTAGAAACAGCAGATTCAAACCCCTCGCGCCCCCCAGGTCTGTATGTATGGTGCATTGAAAAACATGCTTCACAGATAACCAGTTTTCAGTTCTGTTAGGACCCAGGTGGAACTTAAAATATTAATTATCTGTGAAGCACGTAAAAACTGAGAAAAACCAAAACTAACATTTTAGTGAGTATTTATTACTTCATTTAGTTAACAGTTTTATGTTATGTGGGAGTATGTTAAACCATTTTAAATTTGGCCTAATCTTCTGACTTGAAAATGAACCCCCTACCATTTAGTTGGGTGGTTTTTCTTTAGTCACAATTAGTGTTTTTATTTTTAATACAAATTTCTATTACGTCAGTTAAGTTTTGTGTAGATGATTGTATTTGTCGTTTTTACAGGGAAGCAGCTTCCGCCGGTTCATGCTTGGGATCTACATTGTTATAGTGGCAGGATTAGTAACAGCTTTGGTTGTCCTCATCTGGTTATAAAATCTTGTAATCATCATGTACTCACTTTAGTACGAGTTTGTATTTTCAAATATAATCAGTTATCACCTAGCTATAAGTTGGCATTAAGAACAGAATAGTGTGTGGGTCAGAAGGAATGAAACTCAACTCAAGATGAGTGGTATACTTAAATCTAGTTTTTCTGTGATGTTTCAACTTCCCTACAATGATACTTTTAGACAAGCAGCCTTCTATGAAGTCAGTTCCTTAATCTGATTTTATCACCAGTTTCTCTTTCAAACATTGATTTTGAATTGTTTATCATCTTTTTTTTTGTGCTGTTTGAAAAGTTTAGTTACGGATTATCAAATATCTTTGTTGTTTGAATTCCTCTTTTGATTAGAAATGCATGTTTTTAAAATACTTACATATATTTGTGTGGTTTTAGTGTGTGTAGAATTTTCTTTAGACTATTTTCATTAGTAATTCTAGATGAAATTTTACGGATCTCAGGGATAAATGTAGAAATATTAGAAATCATGACATGAGAAGTGTAGGATAAAGAAGAAATAACTGTTTTGATCTCAACATTTAATGTTAATCAATCCAACTTTTAACTCTATTGAAGTTCAAAAAACATACAGTAGTGAATTACAAAGTGTTAAAAGTTAATACATCTGTTTTTACAACAACGAGACACAATGTTATTTAAAGCATTACAGCAATGATCGCACCAGTGATCCAAACATTGTAACTGTTCTAAAAAATAATCCTTATCGAAAAGCTGTAACTTTCAATAAAATAGTTCTACCAACAGTTTTACTGACACTGTTTAAGTTTCCTTAATAAATATTGAAAGCAGAGATCAAAACCAGATTTTTTTTCTAAAGAAGTTTAATGGTTTTCTATTCAACTTAAGTCTTTATTGCCTTAAAATTACATGGTGAATGTCCAACATCTGTATTTATTAATTAATAAGAGCTAGGTAATGAGCGTAAGACAGAGTTTAATGGATGCTGTATATTATGATCTGTAAATAATATAGGTTGTATGTTGCAGTTGATAAACAACCGGTTCCACCTTACCCTGTTCAAGTATTTTTGTAACCTCCCTGAAAATCTACTTGGCCAGTAAATAATAGGCTGAAATTATTTCATTTCTAGCTCATTAAATTGTTTTTATGAGCTTAGGAATAGAACACTAAAGTAAGTCTAAAGCCGGATTTGTTTGTCTTGCCGGAAAGCCTTTAGATTTTGCTATTTTTTGGTAGATTTGAACGGTGTGATCCTTGGAAATATTTAATGTTGCAAATATTTAACATTTATAGTGTAAGGAAAAAAATATTTTACTCGGTATACTTTGTGGTTTATTTGCATATTTGATAGCACGTTTTTTAATTTACTGTTTTTTAACATCTCGTATCAAGAACAGGTTTTTTTTTCAGTATTTTTCAAATCTGTTCAAATATACAATTATAGGCTTACTCATATGTAAGTCTTAAAAGGTATGAGAAATGAAATTAATTTAGTTCAAAGATTCGCTAACATTATGTTGGTATTTTTCAGTTAGGTCATGTAAAGATTTGTTTATTATGTCAGTTACTTCTCATACTACAACTGACTTGTCTAGTTTTATTACATACGTACGCTATTTGTTTACTTAATTATTATTGTTAAATATTTTTTATCTGGGTCCTTAGGTCTAAAAAAAAAGTCCGGCTTTCAATAAATAATATTTTTTTTATTATTATTATTTCCACCATTGCTAGTCGAGCCAAATTCCATTAGTTTTTGTGCTTCTAGGTATATTATGAAAACTTAAGTATTAGTTTCAACCTGCTATTCTGTGGCATTACTATGTCTTGTTGTACATTTAGAACTTACTGAACATAGTTGTATTGTTGAAAACGGTTATTAATGTAGTGTCTTATTAAAAACATTTTTAGACCAATATAGACGTAATCAATACTTTTTTTTAAAGCTAATTTCAACGTTAAATCAGAACGCTACATCTTTTATAGAACTTATTATTGTCATTTGGAAATTAAGCTCATTTTGGGGAAAAAATGCGAATGATTCATTTGATTTAATTTGTTAAAATAGTATAAGAAACAGAATATGAAGTATAATTTAACTGAAATATCAAATCACTTTTTAGCAGGAGCACTTGTAGAAAATTAAATGTGGTTATTTAAATTCTTGTAAAGTGGAAGAATTTTAAATTTTTCGCAATGTTTGGAAAAAAAAAAAAAAAAAAAAAAGGCTTAATGCTATTGAATTTTTGTATACGGAATCA